AGTGGGCGTCGACATCTCTACCAACCCAAGTGGTTCAACTTCTACCATGTCAATAACACATACGTCATATGATGTCATACACCAGGGGTCGCCAACTGTATTATTTTAGGCTAAGACAGAGAAAAAGAAAATCTACTCCTTTCTCCAGACTCTAAGTTTCGGCAAGTTTTTCGGAGCAGGACTTTTTGGATTCCTTGAACTGACAGGATTTTGAAAGTGTTATCTCGTTCCTCCTTATATTGCTGAAGCTTTAGAGGCTGAAGCTTTAGCGGCTGAGTTCATATTCTGAGTCGCAAACGTCCCGGTGGGTTTTTTGACTGTCTGTACTTTACCCTGAAAAAAAGAAGAGTGGAAACAGATCTGTCAACCATTTAAACTGCTAACCCTCAGTTCTACCACGGAGAGTCAAGTACTCTGCACATGGATGTGGTCACTATGAATCAAAACAGTTTAGGTCGTGGAGTACTTTGTGCTACTGCAGTGAACATGACAGGCACGACTATAATGATATACGAGACATACGTGTTCAACAAGGGCGGCTTAATTACTGATCAGGTGATTAATTACACAAAGCACAAGAAAACTCCCATCAATTCATCATGTCATGGTTCTGAAGTCTCGTGGCTCTGTCTGTGAATGAAAGGATTTGTACTGTAGTATATCAAAATCTAAAGTCCTCTGTATTACAGTACATACCTATTATAAATTATTGATTCTGGAATACATTCCTTCTAAGTCATCCTTGAAGATCCACAAGTCCAATCTATTTTTTCACACCTTTGTTAAAAACGTGTAATTTTATTCAAAGCTTAAATAGGTTCCCAGAACTGGCACCCCGGTTTCTCACGGCTAGGCTCTCAATCTCACCAAATGTTACCCTGGCAGAGTTAACGCCTCAGAACAGCTGAAGTGGTTTGGTCAGCTCGTATAAATCCACTGCTGTTGGCTGTAGACTCGCGAGTCTGACGGAAATCAACAAGAAAATCTCTGCTCTCTCTCAGCAGCAGGCCACGAAAAACCCTGAAGCTTGTCAGACACAGCAAAGACGGCTCAGACGGGATGTGCTCCTTTTCTGGCATGTCACAAATAATATATCTGAGTGGGCTCACAGTCCTTTGTGATTGTGAATTTCAACAATGTAGGTGTGAATATTATTGCTTTTCTGTCCTGATGTGAGAACAGAAAATATCGTTTCACAGACTTCACCGTCATTTTCTTTTGCAGTTAGCATTCTGTCAGGGGCATTCTGGTCCAGACAACCAGGAGCCAATGACAGGTTAGAAACTGGGCTGTTTGTGGGTCCATTACTGGACCACATGTACAGACAGACGACCGCCCACACTCTGATTAACATCTATAGTAAAATCAGAGCAGCAGATGGAAATCTTTAAATTTCCGCAGTGACATAAGCAGAGGGGTTGGTGGCATGAGGAGGACACATGCACATGTACACAGCCTTTTTTTAATAAGTCAAAGTTCCCCTAATCACAGCTGTTCATGCCATAAGCCATACAAGTGTCATACTCAAAATAACTATAAAAGTACTACTGAAAACTGATTTCCTTTTTGTCATCAATCTTAATAAATAACCAGATAAAACAAAACAAAAACTCTTCAAAGTATCTCTCTATAATATATCTCGACTGGAGTTAGAAAAATAATCCTTTTAAATATGGACACGAAAGATTAAGAAGTAAGCAAATATATCTCGACTGGAGTTTAAAAAAAAAATCATTTTAAATATGGACACGAAAGATTAAGAAGAATCAAGATCTTTAAAAAAATAAATAAAAAATGATCAAACACAGGAACTTCCTGCTGTACGTCATTAGAAACCACCGCTTTGCTCCTATCAGCATCTTTTTTCATTCATATAAACTGACCTGCGACACAACTGGGCCACCGATGGTTCAAGCCGCCACGTTAACTTCCATTTAGAGAATCCACTGATCTGTATCATTTATTTACAGCGTTATTTTCCAGTGTAATAAAGAGGGCTGTCGTTACAGTTAAAAATGACCGGTGCCATCCATCACATGCTGAAATGTAGCACAGCTCCCACAGAGGCTGGCAAGTTGCCTACCACATAAAAGGAAGGAGACGCCCGGCTCCAGCTGCCTGTGTGTCCTTATTCTGGACTTGCTGAAGTGAAGCTTGAAAAACTGGCAACCAATGAAAATCAGCCTTCTGCACGTTGGAACTTTCAAATCCTGCCGTCAGGAGTAGAAAAGTGGCAACGTTAGCTGTTCGTCCATCACTCTAACTGTAGCTACAAATGCTCTGTACCACCTCGGGGGGTGCCCCCTACTTTGGGAACCACTGCACTGTAGTACGATGCAGCCTATTGGTCTAATCAACAAATACATTCTAAATAAATAAGTGCAAACCAAATCTGAATATTGGTTTGATTAAAAAAAGACCCTTAGAGCTTTATGTAAATTATCTATACTTAAAAAAATTAAGTTAACTCTTGTGACTAATTGGGACGTTATCTTTTATTTATAGTTAACTCTCGTGGCTAATTGGGACGTTATCTTTTATTTATAGCCTCTTTAATTGCATGCCATAATTACAGCCACACCAGTAAGAAAGACTTTGGAATCAAATTAATGAAGTGAGCAGCCATACAGTATATTGTACCTGAATACTGATTCGCTCTGTTGAACCTCTGGAGAATGACATAAATTAGCACAATAATGACACATTTGAAGCAGACAGAAGAAAAAAATATATTCAACACTAGATGGAGTAAAAAATATATCAGGTCTTGAAGTGGGTTTGAAAGAAATCTCAAGTCACACTTGATAGGAACTCATCTTTGAATTATGTTTCAAGCCCCCCCCTCTGCCCCCCCCCTTACTCTGTGTCATTTTCCCCTTTTCCCTCGCCTGCTTACGTTCAAACGCACATACATGCAGTGTTGTTTATGCCTCCCTTGCAGCCTTTCAACATGCAGGTGGGGTCATGGATGATTAAAGCAGTGGCAGGTGGACTTCACTCTGATACTATCAATAGACCTCCAGTACTGAATCAAACAGCAAACCCCTCCATCTCTGCCAACCGGTGGTCATGGTGACACTGATGGAAAAAAGGATTTGCAGCAGGGAAAAAGCCATGATCCATTTCTGCATTCTTCGTGTAAATTCAGGCACAATGCTGCCGAAAACAAGAATACCACAGAGAAGACGTGGAGAGGTCTCTGACCCCGTGTGCATTCACTCCTCTGACCCTGCAGCCTTTAACCACAGGAGCCAAGGGAAAGTAAACAGAAAGAAGCTTTTGACGGCACATGTTTTGCTCAACGGCGATGAGGAGAAGTAGCGGTGGTTTGTAAAAAGTCAGTATTCAACAAACTGTATGGTCTAACAGTAGGACGTTACTGTAACTGAAGCCCAACAGTTCAAACATTTTACTACAAATAAATCTCATTATTATCTGATTGATGATGTGTTGAAATGTTTAGTCACAAAAACATGTCTTTCAACATAAACTCAACTTTATTTAATATTACTGTTTGGTTAAAGACCAAAGTTAGCTTCAGTAACCCAGGTGTCTGCTGTGGCAAACAGAACAATTCTAAATAGTAGGTAGAAATGGTTTTGTTATTTTGTGTGTCCGTCCATGGTCCAACCCTTCTGCTGAATCCAAATGAGCTGCTACGGTCATGGATGTGATTGTCAGGGTGGTATGGTAGTATTTCTGGGATCAATGATTTAATGGAAATGTCAAGAGCATCAGTTGCTCCAAGCAAAGACCCAACCACGAGATACAATGTGAGCCTCTCGACTCAGTGACGATGAGAGACTTGTTGTCATTCAGCTCTGCTCCAGCACCAAAATCTGCCCCATCACAGCAGAAATAGTATTGTCACTCTTTAATGGGATGTCAGGGTCGTTTATTGCATATTAATTTGCCGCAAATCAATACTGCCTGTGATGCTACGAGATAGCTTTTCTTAGTTTACATTCTGTGGAAAGAATTAAATTCTGTGCTCTGGCCAAATTATGCTATGGGATAAAAAAAACACAAAGTGCCATAAAGTTCAATAAATGTGAGGGGGCAGAGGGGTGACAATATATATATATATGACAGACTGGGGNNNGGGGGAGGGGGGGTGGGGGGGGGGGGCAAACCCATTACATGCAAATAAACCAACAAGTGATCAAATGTGACTTTTTAAGCCACTACAACTGTGGGTATCAGCGTGGGGAGCTGTCCGCGGTGCTGAAATGAGCAGTAAAGGCTTTTTCTGCGTTTTGGCTCGAGTTGTTCAACACTTTGCAAAGAAAGGACAGAATAAGTGTCACAATGAGTGTCTGTGTGAAGAGAGCATAATCCACGTGCACATGTAGAGAACCACGCATGAAGATCAGTACAACAGTAAACGCTGCCACCAAGTTTCTCAGTCGTTCCTGCACCGACCACAGGACAGGAGTCGACTCAATTACTGTGGCGACCTTCAGATGGGCGCGGTTGCACTTGTCGTGCAATCCTCACCAGTTGTTATTACAGCACAATTAAACTGCGTGCACCGAGAGCCCTGAGAGCGCCACTGTTCCTGCCGTGCTGCTTGCAGCGCTGCAGTGAAGGAGGGTGACATCCATCTATCCTCCATCCTCGCCGGGAGATCACTGCACACGCGACTCAGTGAAGCAATCTCATCAGCTCTGACTTCGGAATTTCTCCTAATATTTACACCAGCAACACTGAACAAATGTGATTTTTTTTAAACTCAGATCGCTTTTTATCATCTCACAGATAAGAGGTAAGATCAAAAAATTCTTCTTGTTTTGCTTTATTAAAGTACAGGATTCTGTGTTCTGATTAGCTGTAATCAGAGTAGAGCAAAGAAAGAAAATACATTATTTTTTTTCAAAGAAATGTTTGTGTACTGGTGCTATACTGGGAAGTACTGCACAGAGTCTTAAGTTGCAGCAGATATTCTCGGCTCATGACTAGTTTTGCTCATGGAGCTCCTGGAATCTGATCATAAAAAAGTCACATTCAGTGACATTACTGGTAGGTCACACTGTAGTGGACGTGTTTAAACACGCCACAGTGCTGTGGAGAGTGACGAAGCCAAATACACAGCACTCAGGAGAGATTTAAAAAAAAAAAATCAACTTGTGGTCCGCAGGGATGTGTGATCACTACCTTTGATATAGAAGTCATTTTAGACCCACAGCTTGACATTTTCTTGTCATTTTACAAAAGTTTGCGGTCTGTTTGGGAAAGTAAACGAAATAGAACCACTGCAAAAAGAAGCTCGGATGTAGCGCTGACCGGTCAGTGTTATCTCTAGGACCCGGCGGAGCGCTCCAGTGTAATTGGACACTTGCTCTGTTGAAAGAAAGAAAGAAAGAAAGAAAGAGTCCTTTTCTCTTTCTCCTTCAAACATATTCATCAATTCCATGAAGCTAGAAAACCGTTCCTAACGTCTCCACGAGAACCAGGACTGAACCAAAGGCGCAAATGGACAATAGTGACTCCAGGACCAGCGGTCACTTAACTATTTGTGGCGCGTCCTCCTGTAAAGGCTGCGCCAAAGGACGCGCTGCGTAAAGTCACCGAGTCTCCATTTCAGACGAGTCTGTGGTGCACGTGTCTGTGATCGGACGTGACGGTGGTTCAGACGGGTGAGAATTGCAAAAGTTGGGACTGATTTGTAAAAGGAAAAGACACTTTTCTTGAAGATCTGCTGAAGGCTGCAGCATCACAGAGGCTGGTGTGGACCGCTGGTCTGTGTTGGCAGAAAGAAAAAAAAAACTTGTTGCACCTTGTCCCAGGAGAGCATTTAAAACGTAAGTAGTGCAGTGTGTTGGGCTTTAAGTCGCTGTGGTTTGATTTTGTCGCTAAATGATAAAGATTCTGACCAGTCATGTGAGCTCTAAAAAAAAGGTAATAACAAGGGATGAACATATGGGTTCGTAGTCAACATTACTGCATGACTGTCATTGTACTGGCATTTACTCCTGGCTGTTAAACATCTGCAGGAACGACGACCAAACCTGTTGCACTGAAAATTACTGAATGGTTCGTTTCGTCTTTGCGCAGAGGTTTTTGCGCCCTCAGGAAGAAAAATTGTGAAAAAAAATGTTGATGTGCTCCAGTTTCTTTACTGTGATTCGGGCAGCACGAATCTCTTGTGCAAAATTCTGCATTTTCTTATGCGTAATTGTCTCAAAAGAACTTGGCGTAACGCATGGATCCGTGTATAAACTGAACGGTTCACTGGCCTGGAGTCACAGAGGTGATGGACCACATCCTGCAAACATGCAATTAGCTGATTAAACCACACATTAGAGACAGAAAATGTGACTTCAGTTTTCAAGTTTACACCCAGGAACAAACAAACTATCTTTACATCAACAACTACTGATCAAAAGAAGGCAACTAGAATGGATCATGGAAGGACAGGTCTGTTTTCCACTTGATCCCACTGTGACTCATATATGTAGAAGAGTTCATCCTTGGCCACCACAGTGTTGAAAGCATTAACACACTGGTTATGGGTCAGGGGGAAAAAAGGAGTCAATAAAGATGGTAGGATTTTATGCTCACAACACAAGAGAAGGTAAAATGATGAAAACAACAGAATCCAGCAGAAGAGTCTGAATGTTGTGTTAGAGTCCAATTTCATCTGATATACAGATCTTAACCAATGCCGTATTATATATAATAATCAGTGTGGAGCAAATTACTACGAAAATAAACAGAACACACCCGCCGTGCCTTTTTCAGAGCCTGGCCAAGAGTTTGTAGCCAATATGAACCTGGTTCTCCGGCTACCTGCTGATTTTTAAAACACTCTGTCATGCATGAGCTGCCTCGGGGATGAAATGCAAGCAGACACAAGGGGGTGTTTCAGAGGCTTCAAAAAGAGTGAAGAAAAGGAGACAGAGGGAGAGGGAGAGACAGAAAGAGGAGAGAGATAGAGGGAGGTGGTCAAGCCGAGGTCTAAACTCTCTCTTCCTGCATAAGGAGAGATGCTCAAATATTGATGACTTTTAATATAGAACCTGACCTCATATTTTTCCCAGGGAATTTGTGACTTTTTTTTTTTACTTTTTTGAATGCCCTCAAGTATGGAGTAGATAAGGTGGCATATCAGGGCAAACCTGGGAAGTCTATTTTAGGGGTGCTGTACGTAGTATTTTTAGCTTTGGAGAATATTCTGGTAGAATGAAAAATGAACAGGTATCTGGGGCAGCACGTGGAAAAACAATAAATCAAAGTTGTCACATTAAAAAACAACAGGGTTTTCATTTACTTTATGAATTGGATTTTTAAACCTGGGTCTGTTCTGTTTATATATAATGTCTTCAACGTGTCAGTTCTGAGGTGAGATTTTTAGTGGGGTTGTCCAAATAACACTTTTTTTAAAAAAGACACTAAGTATTCTCATTTGTGGTCTCTCGGATACTGCTTTACTCAGCCATGAACAGAAAGTGAGCAGAGCTTTTACACCACTAGCACATTTAAACTGAAACCTGCTGTCACTCTGACTGAGTAGGACTGGTAAACACATCCGGTTGTGGAACAAAGCCGTTATTTACTATTGGGTTGCTGCATGAGCAGATTTGGTGGACGTCCGGTTGTGGAGAAAAAGCCATTATTCACTATTGGGTTGCTGCATGAGCAGATTTTCGAGTATTTGAATGAAGTATCAGGTCTGACACCGATTCCAATATTGCTATCGGTGCATCCCTAGTTCGTAGCTTTGTATTGATGCCACTGGCAGACCGAGCGGTCCAAGTCAAAATCGCTTTGCCTGCAATAAAATTGTCACCCGATAGCTTTGATCTTAGTCGAACAAATGAATATAAGTTGAGCGACCTTCATGGAGCCCGAGTTCAACGTTTTTATATAAGTTATACTAAGTAAAAAGTGTTGTAGGAGCCCAATGTTCTTCCTACAAATGTAACAAACATCTAAAATCTTTTTTTTACCAAAAAAAATTTTTTTTTCTTTTTTTTAAAAAAAGCTCCTTCCACAAAAAACCTGGAAGACAGGTGAGTATAGGAAGTTTCTCCAAAATTGCTCCAACGTCTATATTTCAGTGTCAGAATGTGAATAAAAGATGTCTCCAACAAAAGCCTGGTCTGTGCCAGTAAGAAGGAGCTGTGACTCACCTCTTTGTGTGGAAACTTTGCAAAAACTTGACTCTGCCCTAAACTTTTCTAAGTGTGTTGCCAGTATTGATTTCTAAATTTGTATTGTTTCTTCGTCCCATCGCCTGAAACTAAATCACTTTGGCTCCAGAAATGTTGCAAATTCGTGTAGATGGAGGAAAGAGAACATTATTCAATGACCGCCACCTCTTGGTCAAACACTGAAGTTCAAATATAAAGCTGCAAAGATGTTCGGTGGATTGGGAAATAAGTCTCTTGTTAGCGGCAGCAGGTGTTAGAAATAGATGTGTCATCACCATCACGAACTCTTGTTAGCAGAAGCAGGTGTTGTGGAGAAAGAAAGAAATAGATGTGTCATCACCATCACGACTAACTCTTGTATTTCCTGATAAATATTACTAAAACTGACACAGACATTTGAGACCTAACATCTGCCGTCATCCTCTAAGTAACTGACTGCTGCATATTTTAAATGGCAAAGTTTTTTATTATTAACTCCAACCCTGCTGGTCCCCTCATTGATTCGACCCCCCCTCTCCTCCACCCGGCCCTCCCTCTGCTGTGAGAGAACTGTCAAATGAAGCCTGCCACCTGTACTTCCTGACACGGCTCACAGTGAAGGGTCTGACAAGTCTGAATATCAGTGCAGATAATTTTTCAAGCTCAGATGAGCGTTTTTCATTACAGGTGTAATGTATTCAGGCCTGGAGCCATTTTAACGCAGGGCAACAGGGCGGGAGGAGAGGAGGGGTGATTGCACCAGATGTGGTCAAAAACTGTTCATTCTTAGACTAAAAACACGCTCTTTCCATTCATGTATCTATCCATCTGTCAACATTCAACGTCAAAAACAAATCAAAAACAAAATTCAACGGATTTTTCCTTTATTAAAATATCCTGAAAATATTTTCATCTAAAAATTCCAAACCCAGTTCTTGTATTTAAATACATAGAAGAAGTCTCTTCACATGCTTGTGATGTTAGTAACGTCAGTCACAAAGCATGAAGTCACTGACTGATACCACTGACCATAAGTCCGTGGTTCAGGGGAGTGATGTCAAATGAGTAACACTTTTGGGGCAGTTAATATTCAGAAAACCCTGAACCCTTTAATATGTACGGTGCTCCAAACAACAGCTTTAACTTTAACAATAACGTTTGTCTTTTTAAAGTGTCATTAAGGTGTGGAAGGCCGGTGTATAAACCCCTGCTCCGTTTTATGCCCCCCCCTCTTTAAACATGCAATTTTACCACAGACAATGAGATGCCGTGGGTCTCCACTGACTGCTGCCAGGCACCATTAGCCGTTGAGTTAAGGCATTTGACTGATAGGCTGTGATAACTCGGAGAAATGTACGATCTCTGAAACAGACCATTTCTGTTTCCCGTTCTCACTCTAATAATTCCCAAAAGTGTCAGATTGCATTGTGACAAACACGCTTCCTCGTTAGGCTGTAGAGGAGTTAGAGTCCTGAGACGGCAGCACCGGGGAGCATATGCAGTTTTCTTCAATTATAATGGCATTTTGTGTCAGCTTCAAGCATCTAGTGCCCCTTGCCTGGACAGAAGGTGGCGCTAAGTACACATTTGAGAGTTCTGTTCTAAGATTTGAATATACCTGTGCATTCTTTTACGTATATCTACAGTAATAATATAAAGCTTCTGTTCTAATGTTTTAAATCATTGCGATCTGCTTCATTAACCACTTGTCTTTGTGTGTGTTTTTAGGGTGGACAAAATGGAAAGTGAGGAGTGTCGGCTCCCTGTGTTTCATCTCATCTGACCATTCACTGACCCTTTAATCAACGCTGAACACTTCACAAGAGGCTCACGTCATCAGTCAAGAACAAAAGCAGCAACAACTCCAAAAAAAAACAAAAAAAAACAACCCAAAAAACGAATGGGAGCTAATTGTTGTCCAAAGCTGCTGACACCTAAATAGCAGCATGCTGCCGCAGTTCCCAGACTGTCCACTGCACTCTTAGAAGCTGTAGTTCACCTGAAACATTCTTTGTGTTTATCACTGACGTAAGGCGTACATTTTTCTCCATAATTTGTTCACAACCAAATCAGCGATGCTCTGGCCTGTACTGTTCACTCTACAAGCGGTCTGCGCCGGTGTGGCCGATGCCATGCAACATTACCCAGCAGCCTGGGGACACTATGACGTCTGCAAGTCCCAGATCTATACCGAGGAGGGCCTGGCGTGGGACTACATGGCCTGTCAGCCGGAAGCCACTGACATGACAAAGTACCTGCGAGTGGCCCTCGACCCCCCAAATATCACGTGTGGAGATCCACCAGAAACATACTGCGCTTTGGTGAGTCGTAACCTCTCATGTCCCCCGATGGAGACAAATGAGGCTGTGGGCAAGATTCACAGTGTAATGGGTCAGGGGGTGGTCAGCAGTACACACTAGGCAAGTAGAGCAGAGACAAATGCACACACACACACACACACACACACGTCCAGGGTGTATGAAGGAACTAACTCACCTCAAACCTACAGTAAAAAGAGAGAAAGACGTTCATGGTCGTTACACACGGCAGGTTGTCACAGTTGTGTTTTATGTGTGTGCCTGTGTGTGTGCGTGCTGAAATATTTCCCCTTCTTCTTCTCTGAAGGAGAAAAAAAATGGTTTTGTAGCATGTACCTTAAATATATTGATAAGGTACAAGCTCTTTTTTGCTGATTCCCCCCAATGATATATTACAGTAATGTTAAATGTTAAGGTATAAGACGGTAAGTGGACACATGTCTCGGGAGCAAAAAAACAACAACCAACCTTTCTTTTCTAAAGCCTTTCATTTAAGTGCCAACATTTCCACTTCTTTCAGGTCAGAATTCTGTCTTTCACAACAACCAGGTCACAACAACCTGCTTCTTTGACCTGCATCAAAAAACTGAAGTTCAGTCATGTTTTAAAAGTTATGGAAAATGAAAACCGTCAGACGGAGCTGGATCAAAACCTTGACCAAAAGCCGGAATCATTTCAACAGTTTGGACTTGAAGCAGTAAAGAGTTTCTGTTTCATGATGCAAATCATTGGTGATTAATCATTGTCAGTTAGGATCATCATTAATCCAGAGACACCCGTGATTAATCACAATAAATAACGTAAATGGTTTGACAATCGTTTTATATGTAGAACACAATGACTTGTTCATATATTCTATAAAATCTAGAATCTTCTTAAAGGACTGTGAAATCATGAGGTGAGATCGTTCCTTTCTGACCGTCACCACACACACAGAGCGAGAATTAATACATCATTACTGATGATTAATAATACATGAGCCAAGGCCTCGGGCTGTTTAACATTAAACTGTTCATCCTCGGTGAGGCTCACATGACAGATGCCCCGGGTTATGGAGTCGAACGTGAACAACTGTCCATGAGCAAAAGCAGAAAGTACTGCAGTACAACCATTCAGTACGTGAGCACCGTTTTCAAATGGTGTGGTTCCTTTTATAAAAGATATGATAAGGTGTACTGGGGGCATTTGTTTTGTGATAAAAATGGTAATAAAAGCAGTTGATATGTCACACAGGAAACCTAGGGAACATGGGCTTTATTAACCTAGACCACTGGACAAATGTTAGCTCTCAGCAGCCCACGTGTATCTCCAGCTACGTTGATTTATCTTTGCTACAGCGTTATATCGTATACATATCTGTAAGGCTGATTTTTTCTCTATCCTATTGGACACAGTCGTTGTAATTTTTCAGAACGTTTCTCTGAAAATAGATGAAAAGGCTGTGGCTGCCAGTTCAACACAAATTCACTTTGTAGGCTGAGGGAGGAATGACACGAGGAGGGAACGACTCAAAGCTGCTCAGAAACAGAAATGTTATTGACAGTGTGTGCAGCTGGTGCTGGCAGTAAAAGGAACAAAAAGTGAACTTCAGTCTTCATCTTGCATGACCATAACTAAAAACTGATATCAACCTTTGACGTGTATATATGGGTTTGAAAAATAATAACTCCAAGTTAAAAAATCCCCAAATTTGTATTTAATTCTTAATGAAAACACTGTCAAAAACCAGTCTTTAAAACAACAACAACTCCCAAAACTCCCAACAATCCCCGTTCTCCTGCAGCAGTGCAGTCAATCTTTATTCTTATTTTTCATTTTATGGTTGCAAAGAACAATTCTTGTGTGTGTGTGTGTGTGCATGTGTGTGTGTTTTGAAACAGCAAACAGTTGAGGCGTTTAGCTTCCTGTCACCTAAGTGCCCTTGACTGTGTTCTGAACTGGCCCTGCCCGACACATCATAACCGCACCACTGAGTACCAAGACACTGAGATGACATGCAACATGTCCTCTGACTCCAG